ATTAAGGAGGGCATGTATTGCATGGAGCACTGGGTGTTATATGAAAACAATGAATCATGGATCACTACATCAAAAACTAATGATATATTGTATGGTGACTAACATAATAAAATAAAATTTAAAAAATAAAAAAGTAAAAAAAAAATACCTCAGAAAGATAAAAACACCTCAAATTATATTATACTACAAAATAAGCTTAGTGCTTGAAGTTATCTAAGTTAAATCATGTTTCCTGAAATCAAAATAAACTCAAATTTCTTTTGATATACATTATCCTGAAATATAGGGGATGTATATTTGGGAGGGGGATATATATTCCCAACAAGTACTGGAAACAATGCCACTTAAGTTGTGTGTGACCGTATTAAAGACAATAAACCAAAAGCAGCCTACAAAGATGCAGTCTCTGCACATGTACACGTCCGATATGCTGAAGTATCATCTTGTCTCATGTAAAACAACCATAAAAGGGTATGAGAGTTGTAATGACTGGCAAGAGCATTAGTGTTAATGGGTAATATTCAGAATTCAATACATCAAAGGCATATGGCTCCTGTTTGCAAACCTGCTGAATACCACTACTTTTGACCCTAAATTCCCAACCTGGGACAAACTGACCACACGGCACAGATCACAAGAGGACAGGTTCTGGAGCTGAGATTGTATCCTGTCTACTTCCTAGCTTCCTAGGGTGTCTTGGGCAAATAACAATCTCTCTGTTCCTCAACTTCCTCACAGGAAATCTGTAAAATGAGATAAGATGTAGATAAGATCTATTCTAAGTTTTAGAAGAAAGTATGTTAAACATTCGACAGTGTATGGCATAAGAAGAGCTCAAAAAAGACTTTATAAGACTGCATGTAGTATTAAAATGATGACACACTGGCCTAATAAGCATGTCACTGGTGATCTTTGCTAATAGCAGCCTTGTACTCCCATGGTATATATCCTCTGGTATCTATTTCAAAATCTGTACTTCTGTGTCTTTCTGTGAAATGACTTTGATGCCCAAAATGAAACAGAAAGTACAACTTTGTTACACACCTAATGAATTCTCTGTATTTTTTTATAGTTCTAATGCAAAAATGACCAACAGATAAGATAAATATTGGTAGAGAAAGACACCAAGTCCTTGATAATAGGCCACAAGAGGGTAATTTTCATGTTATCCAAAGAACCACACCAATCATTAAATGTAGAACAACACACTCTCTCAAATGATAAAGAAAAGGATGAATACCCTAAAGAGAAACTTGTTGCTATTTCATTTATTCAAGAGACATATGACCTCTGAAATGAATCAAACAGGAAATGGGTAAATTATGGTATACAAATTATATTTAATATTATCAGTTAATATTCATTTTTTAAAAAATACACTACACAAAAATAAGTCAAACTTATTTTGAACAAAATGGAATTAAATACTAAATAATTAAAGCAGATTTCTACAGGTTTCTATAGTTTTAATTAGTATCTTAGTCTTTCAGATGTCTTACATATGAACTTTAATATTTTAGGTTATAGTAAGAGCTTACACTGTTGTAGGGTTCTTTGTTTAATGGAAATTAATGTGTTTGGAAAAACTCATTTTAACAAAGACACATGCATGCAAAGAGATAAAAGGAAATAGTAAATATCCCTTATATTTTTCAGTATTGATCAATAAAATAGGATGATGATATAGTTTCAGTGCCACACATATTATCAGCCACACACAGACAGCAAAATCATCTTGCTTACCATGCCAAACTGCTGCATGTCCATCCCAGAGAGTTGCCACCGTCTTCCTCGCGCCATCCCATAAATTATGAGAGTAGGCTTCTTTTAATACATTCTTCCTCTTATAAATGTGTAAGAAAATAATAGTAAGATAGAGAAGAAAGATAGTGAAGTAAGGAAGTATTAAAAGTATTAGTGGTGTAAAAACCCACAAGAGATAGTTTGCAAAATTCAAATAGTCCTCCAACTGCTCCACACCAAACCATTCTTCAAGTATGTGAATCAGACAAGTCATATAGGGCATAGAATCCTGTCCTGTACCACAGGTTTGATTTTTGTCTATCATTTTTCTTTAGGTGAAAATGACAAATTCAGTCTCTTTCTTCATTGTCATGGTAGGTCTTTAATTTGGCCACTAGAAGGGAAAAATAATCCAGTGTTATTCTCTTCACAACTGAAAAGTTAAATGTTTTAGTCTACATAAATACTACATAGAATCATTTCTTAATACCAAAAATGAGTAGATTTTTAATGGTTAACTTTGTTGCAGACTTCAGTGTGAAAATTATAAGGTTGCATTTGCATGCTCATGAAGCATGTCAGGGTTAGCTTTTGAAATAACTCACAAGCTATAATTGAGAGAGAAAAATAAACCTGATGAATGAAATTTCGGATTGATCTTAATAATTTGACTTACAACTTAAGTGGATCATACTGAATGTTTCTATCTTAAACTAGGTTATGTTGAGATAACTTTCTTCACAAAGGAAAGCATCAATATGTGATTCAATAAAAGTAATCCAATTCTTTAGGAAATGATGACCTACATTTTTGGCTACTGTCTTTTACAAGCAGGTTCACAAAAAATTCTCTGTTCTTTTAACATTATGCAATAAGAAAAATTTATCCCTGCCATTTTTATCTTATAGTCACTAAAATTTCTCTTAAATGTTCAATGACTAAAACTATAGCCATATAATTATTTCACGTCACTTATCTCTAAACCAGTCACTTATCTTACCAGAAATTAGGTAAATATCTTGTCCCAAGCTTCAGTGTATCTGTTCTGGAAAACAGAGGATACAAATGGGAAGAAAAATATTAATACCTAGAGTTAAAGTTTCCATAAAATAAATAGCAAGAGACATTCACAAATGTGTGACAAATATTATAGCCCCACACCAGTGTATCACAATTAAAAATTATACTCATGTTACCAATGCTTTAAGGAGGATAGCTCTATACACTGTTTATTTCCATTACATAAAAACCCACCCGAGACTTTTTTAAAAATCAGAGCTATAAAAACCTTTGCTTATTTGGAGAAAAAGTATGAACGTAAAATGTGTAACTGACCATGTCTCTTCTTAGTAACTTTGCCAGATAATAAGCTGATGTCAAATATGGATATTCAATGATATAACGACATTAGGTCTTAACGATCATGTTATCCTGCACAAGATTTCCTTCTTTCATTCCTATCTTCCCTGGTTCTGATTCTATTCTTAGAGCTATTTTGTCATTACTCCAGGCTACATAATCTTTATGAAAATCATCTCAAACCCTTTATAGCTGAGATAGGAAATGAGTAAATAAAGAAAGGGATGGAGGGGGAGGGAGAGACAGATATACAAGAGCAGTTATATGTTGTCTTTATGCCAAGATTGTCTTGCTGACTGACTTATTAACAGGGCATACACTTTGACTTAGTCCTCCAGGGATGGAAGATTTAGTCTAATTTAATTTCCTTGTAACCAACAGCATTTACTTGTGAGAAATGTAGACCTGCTATGGTAACAGAAGGTAAACACAACACACATTAAGCCCACAATCTGGGCTTTATTTTTTTTTCTGAAGTATAGTTGACACACAATTTTTGTTTCAGGTATATAACATAGTGATTTGACAACTCTATATGTAATGCTGTGCTCACCACAATTGTAGCTACCATCTGTCACCATACAATGATGTGGGCTTTAATTACATCATATTCTCATCAATCCATCTAAAGACTTGAACCCTTATAATGTATCACGGTTTGAAAATTTAGAAGGCAACATAAACATAGTGAAACTTACTACTTTTAAAATGAGAGCTTCCCTCACTGGGAGGGCTGGAATCACAAAAATGTAAAGTAAGTGATGTGGAGAAATTAGAACCTTCATACATTGCTTGTGAGAATGTAAAATGTGCAACACTGTGGAAATCCGTTTGGTGGTTCCTCAAATAGCTAAACATAGAATTACCTTATGACCCAGCAATTCTACTCCTAGATATGTATCCCAGAAAACTGAAAACATGCATTCACAAAGAAATTCGTATATGAATGTTGATAGCAAAACTACTCCTAAGGGCCAAAAAGTGAAAACAACACAAATGTCCATCAACCGATGAACGGATCAATAAAATGTGCTCCACGCCTACAACAGAATATTATTCAGCCATAAAAAGGAAAGAGGTAATGGTTCATGCTACAACAGGCATGAACCTTGAAAACATACTAGATATAAAAAGCCAAACACTAAAGGCCATGTTCTGTATGATTCCATTTATATGAAATACCCAGAATAGGATAATCAATAAAGACAGAAAGGTAAGTGGCTGCCAGGGGCTGAGGGGAGGGGGGCAATGAGAAGTAACCGCTAATGGAAACAGAGGTGTCTTTTGGGAATAATGAAAAGGTTCCAGAATTAGATAGTAATGATGGTTGTGCAACCTTGGGAATACCCTAAAAACCATGAAGTTGTACATTTTAAAATGGTCAATGTTATGGTGAATTACACCTCAACAGAAAAAGAGATTTTAAATATTGCTAATAAATTAAAATTTATGACAGTCTCTCAAATATGTTAAAAGGAGCTGTTCCTAGGCCTAAAAACCAATCATTTTGATGATCTGACCTTTACTGCTTAATACAATTGCCCTAATAATCTAGTCTCATTTCTGATTTTAACAGGACCATAATATGTTGTGATTTTAAAACCTTCTTTAGTACTTCCCCCCCACTCAAATTGGTAATAGAATCATACTTCTTATCCTCAATTACACTCTGACTTATCAAACAAACACAGTACAGACACCAATCAGCAATGACGGGCATCTTCATAAGTAGTCCCTGAACAATGGCCCAGTGCTGCATGCAAGGCCTCCCCCAGAAGTCATCCTCGATTTCGATTTAAACCCTTCCACAACAGAAAACTGAAAAGGTGTCCGATTCCATCTTCAAAACCATCCGCCGAACTACTAAAAAGATCTTCCACATACTTATCTCACTGTAACTTTTCCCTACTGCACCTAGTTCTATACTTACAGAACCTTTTCCATTAAACAAACTCTTAAGTTTTAACAAAGCTATGATGAGCTGCGAAATCCCATTTTCTGGTCAGAATCCTTACTTCTTTCAACCACTCCTCAGACCCTAGTTTCATAACCTTCCAGCACTCAGGTCACTCCCCATGACTGACTCTAGTGGTCTGATATTGAGAGGAGCATGTACAGTAACCCACCTGTACCTCGACTTGCTAAGATCTGTAAAATTGGGATATAATAGTACATATACTACATTAGATGATGATAGGTGCTATGGAGAAAAATATACAGCAGGGTAAGAGGAAAATGGAGGTCTCTAGCAGACTAGAGGGTAGGAGGGGGGTTGCTATGTTATATATAGTAGCCTGGGAAGGACTCTCTGAAAGGTACATTTGAGCAGAGAACTGAGGAAGTGAGGAAGCAAACTACGTGGGTATTTGGAAGAGAAGATCTCTGGCTAAAATAAAAGTAAATACAAACGATGTGTACTTGGTGTGGTCTGAGGAGCAGCAAGGAAGCAGGCTGAGGAAGAATGACAGAGAGAGCAGTCAGAAATGGGCAGAGGGGTAGCACTGTAGAACTTTGTAGGCTTGCTTTTATCTTAAGATGAAGAAGGCACCAGAAGACTGAGACTGCCTAACTTGGGTTTTAAATGATGGCTGTGTTGAGAAATGCACAGGAAACAAACAGGAAGTTCAGGCAATAATCGAAATAAGTAATGAAAGTGGCTTGAACAACAGTGACAGAGTGAAGGTCTGTAAGAGATGATCAATTTCTAGATATACTGTGAAGATAAGGCCAACAGGAATTGCTGATGAATGGATATAGAACGTAAGTGAGAGAGAGAAGTCTGGGATGACTACACGGTTTTTTGGCAAGGTGGGTTTGTATTCCAGGAGACTCTTGCCACTTACTGTGTGACCTAGGCAAGTTACTTATCAAGTTGGCCTCAGTCTCTCCATCTGTAAAGTGGGGATATTAACAGTACCTGTCTAGTAAGACTGTTGTGAAGAATATATGTTTAAAAAAAAAAAAGCTTAGAGGAGTACCTTCCACTATATAAGCACTAGGTGAGTATTGCTGGCATCGTCATCATTATTAGCTTGCTTGTGAAAAGATGGAGTTACAGGAAGAACAGGTTTGAGAGTGGGATAGAGATCAGGAATTCAGTTTTGAATGTATTAACATTCTAACAGACATCCAAGTGAAGACCTTAAATAGGCAGCTGGTCATAGAGGTTAGCAGGAAGATCAGGTTTAGAGAAATATATCTGGGAATTGGCAACATATAGATTGAATGAAAACCATGAAAGTAAAAAAAGATCCTTCTAAGGAGGAAATATAGAATAAAAAGAGTCCCCAGGACTGAGCCTTGGGGCACTCAACATTTTAGAAGTTGGGAGAACAATGAGGAACCAGCATTCCCCTTCCAGGAGTGGCACCCTGAATGTCAAAGTAACAAAGTGTTCAAGAAGAAAGGAGTATTCAGCGGTTTCAAATGATGTGGAGAGGTCTAAGAAATGATCATGGATCATTGGGTTTTACAACACAGAGACATTGACAAACCCTGGTAATTAAGAACTATTTTGATACAGTGGGGATAAAAGTCAGGTAAATTCATGAAAAAGTAAGAGAAAATGAATTGGAAACAGCAAATATGGACAGCTCTTCAGAGGAATGCTGATGCAAAAAGGAACAGAGAAATAGGTGATTATCTAGGGAGGACTGTGGGCCAAGTTTGTTATTGTTTTAAGATGAAAGAAAACATAGCAGTCTTTAATACCAATGGTAATGCGTCAGTGGGAGAGTAAGAAATAGATGATGCAGGAGAGGAGTAATTGTTGGGACCAGTCCTTAACTAGGCCAGAGGGGACAGAATACAGTGTACTGGGCATGGCTCAGACAAGACTTAAATCATTGGGTTATTAATTCATTTACTCAACATGTTTACTAAGCAAATAATTTGTGCTTGACACTATTCTAAACACTGGGGGACACATTGGTAAACAAAATCATATGAGAAAACATATGTAAAGCA